AATGAGCATTCCATTGGAAAAGATAGCGTTTGTATTGTCACACTCTGCTGCCTTAAAAGAATTCATTTCTTATTCAGGAGAAGAGTGAAACGTCCACGTTTCTCACTACGGTACTCCAATCAAAGCCCTGGAAAATGCTCTACGAGTTTCTTCATAGAAAAGGTATATTTATAAATCAACTCTTTGTGGAGATTTCTCTCGTAAACTATGACCTGTTTAGGACACCCATTCGCTACGAGTCCCATTGTATTCCGTTACTGGATCGCTCAACTCTGGTTTGTGCACTATTCACGTGCTCGTGGCAAGGCCGACACTTCTGGTTTTGAGCATGTTTTCATGGGAGAGGTAATTTGGAGATTTACTGAATAATTCCATGAATTTCAACGAATTTCAGTGGTAGTGTTTTGAAGTACTGGTGCTTTATACTATGGTGAGGAAAGTACAAGGACTGGTCCTTTCTAGTACTTAGGCAGACAGATCGTTGCCCCCTACACTGATGGACTGGCCTTGCGATCACCACCATAGCAGGGATACCATTTGTTTGGAAATTTTGATTGAGAAGTTTATTTTCGATTTTTGGGAGGGGAGGATTAACTGGGGTTGACTGAGGCTGACCACGTTCGAGAAGCGCGAGCGGGGCCGTATTTATGGATGGCATAGGGGGAGTGGTTGTGGGACAGCGGAACGTGCCTTTTAGCGAGATTTCACAACAATAAGTGCGATAGGCGGAACTATAGTATTCGCCATTACTCTAGCCATATTTAACTCCGCTCCCATTCTCCATCCCTTCTCCCTTCACCTCCCCCTCCTCCCCCCCCCCACCTCTACTTCTCCTCGGCAGCTTTGCAGGAAATTTTGGGGAGGAGTTAGAGTGTGTCGACTGTTCACCGAATCAATTACTGCAGAAGCAGCCATTGTGTTATGGGATAGGGGATTCTGCTTGCATGTAACCCACTTCACGTGTGGTTGTGCGGAGTGTACCGGGACCACCCGCAAGATGGAGAGGGGGAGGGGGTCTGATATCGTTCGACATCTCGACGGGTGGCTCTGCTCCCTACACTAATACCGTGTGTGTCGTACCCCTGTCTGTGCCGGAAAGGACGAACGCTATCAGCTCTGTCTTTGCTGGCGGCCCTGTCACTCACTTATCCTCGTTGTTGAAATCCCTCGTCCTGATGTGCACCCCACCCGCCTT